AAATGTACTTAGTAACTTTATTGTATTGCTAATATTGTTATTGTAAAAATTGTCTGTAAGATCTCGTAATGATATTGCGGTACCAGAAAAGGTCTGTGCTTGCAATACTAAAATGAAACTAAAGTGTTTGGCAGGTTTTTGCGGTTTAATGTGGTGTAGTAGGAAATAGCACTAGAAATTATATAATAAACAGAGAGAGAATTAACAAAATAATTAGGTAGTATGTAACGAAATTATTTAATAACCAGATTCTGGAAGTATTACTCAAATTTCTCTCGTTTTTTGCCTTTCGTGACTCGGAAAATACCGCTTGCATACAAATTGCGCTCCTCGCACCTCGTGAGGATGAAAAGCCTTGGGTACTATTATCATTAGTGACAAGTTTTGTTTCCATAATAGTGAGTGCTCTTGATAATCCGTTATACTCGTTTGTTAAGGTAGTTTGATTTTTCTTATTTTCAAAGAAAGGCCAGAATACCTCAAAAGAGTGCATAATATAATGCTTATATTGATCGAGTGTTTCGGTAGTTGTAAAACTTGTCGTGGCAAAGTCGAGAGTAGATTATTTATAAAATACGCTTCTGGCGCAATTCGTTTGATAAATGTAACGTTTTTAGTAACTTTTAAAACTACCGTTATATGTAGTTTTAGCTTAATTTAATTCTCGGCTTGATAGATATAGGCTAGTTAAGTGAAATATTTCTGTTGAGAAATTGAGTGCGATTGCTCAATGATTTTGTGTAATATGCTAAATTTATCTGGAATGGCTGCGAGGGACCGTTTTCCAAGATTCTTGCAATGAACCTATTTCTATTAAAATCTGTTAAAGTTAATTTCCCTGCTTAATTATTTATTCTTGCACAAAACAGAGCAGTTCCAAGTAACTATATGTAATTTTTCGAGTTATTGCCATTTATTGCTGGAAAAACAAAGAAAATTCAACGCTAGATTATTTTTGCAAATACAAAAATTCCTAGGAAATACTATCGAGGGCAATTAAAAGCCAATACTCGAGTGTTTCAAAGAGCTTTGGCCTTTTCTACTGTTTCTATTTTTGCATATACAAATGTACAAATGTAGGCATTCCTAAAATATAATTAATATGCGCAAATGTTAATGTCATGATCACTGTGACAATTAATGTGACAACGTCATTTTATTGTTAACTGCTCAACCCACGCACCTTGTCGTTTTATGTATTCACTCATACATACTCACATATTTTTAACAGTAAGTGATGCTAATGGGAATAAGAATAAAAATGGAAATGGGAATGAGAATGAAAATGAGAACACATCTTGAACTTACCCTCTTTGAAATAAGTCAACATTGAAGAATTTATAGAGCTCAACGGAAAATTCAATTGTTGCTTGCAGGTCACCCATGCCGAGCCGAATACCACAGCGTCACTGTCCTCAAGTACCGAGTCGTTCTCGATGTCGTCGTCGGTGTCGTTGTCGTAGTTGTCTGTGCTATTGTGTTAAACACCTACGGCACTATTCTCCTATATCCTGCTGACGTAGTAAACGTTGCTCTGCCCTACCGAGAATGAGTTACCAACGCCGAGCCCAAGATGGAGGGCTGGCAATGCAACTAAGAATCCTTGTTAATCGTTGCGGCTTCGTTTGTTTACAAACCGCTTGTACCCCTGCCGCCGCCGCCTTACCACATTTGTGGTACGCTCACTGGCTACTGTTGTTGTCGTCGTGCCAGTTGTGACTCGAGGATGCAGGCACTGAACAAATGGCGCCACTTGTCCTTAACATAAATCGCAAAGAACGACTGCTAAGGTCCCACTTCAGCTTGGCAGTCACTATTAGCGAGTGTTGTGCATTGAAGGCGATTTTAAAGTGAGACGCGAGCTTCTGCTATGATTACGTATTTACATATTTGTGTGTCCATGTATGTATGAGTGTATTTGAATTTCCTTAAGTTACCAAGTTGGCGTGCTTGAGCGCAGTTCGGTCTACCTTCTTTGCTATTACTTTGTTGTCGTTTTTTTCTCGGTTGCTGTATTTAAAAGTTGCTGCCGTTGTTATTGTTGCTGCTGCTTATTTCGGTAGCGCTTGGTATTGTGGGGTTTGAGTTTCGCAATTTGTGTCATGTTTTTCTCTTGACTGCGCACGAAAGGAATTTTAATAATGCAAGGCGTACTTTTTACAAGCTTTCTACTACTTGACATTCTCCCTTTCTGATAGAAACACATATAACTTTATATGCTTTCAATTCCTTTTTTATTAGTATATGCCTACTCTGGCTTTGACTTTCTGACTGACTTAGTGGCAGCGCAAATCTTTTTCGTTGATTTTGAGTTTGTCCTTTGATTTGAGATCACTCTGAAGTGCATTGCTATCGAAAAGAAACTGCAAAAAGATTGAAATTGAGTACAATTCCTACACAGTTCACTTTATTAAAACTTTAACGAAGTCATTCACTTAAAAAGCTTATTATTTATTGATGGCTACAACGCGATACGCTAATATCAGCACGCGCTAATGTTAGAAACAAATTTACGAGCTGCCTCGTTACGTCCCTTTTCGCCTTTAATGGCATTACGTTGTCGCATGTTGCTCACGAACACCGAACTAAGCACACGAAATTAGTTACGCCGGTTTATGCGCGCCTATGTCAATAAAATTTGCTAAAAAATTTGCAAATAATTGGATCAATGCGTCATAATTTGCGAGGCGAATGACCGCCCAACGACCGCAGCACTCAACAAAGCAACTAGACCGCGCACTTACTTGGACCTGGCACACTATGTGCCCTTACACACACTTGCATGCATGTAAATAATGTCTAAAAATAAACAACAACACACAGTGCAAACAATAAATTGGGTAAATAACAATCGATGGGTGTCCAAGCGGCTGCGTCCGATTGAAGTGTGCTGTTTTAGAAACGTAAATCGGCGGAGGTTTGGCACTGTTCGGACGCTTTATGGGTTTCTGCCCACTCGGCCGAGGTTATGAGGTCAAAACTGAAGTAGAAAAAAAAGTAGTACCGCGCACTAGAATGTGAGAACATATAATATAACACAAAAGCACCTAAACGCAAACTCAATAAAAGTACAATAACAATGACGGTAAATGCGATTGCAATAAAATAATATCCGTTGATTAGGTCAAATGATGTATACCATTAACACGTTCTGGGTCTATGTTTCTTATGAGACATTTCAGACAAAATAAAATAAATAGGGTTTAAATAAATTTATTAAATGCATGCGTAGTACGAGTCTCATTTCAAGCTAAGATATATGAACGTTATATATACATATATAAATATTTCCGTTTCTAATTTGTTAGCCTAGTTTGATTGTACCTGGCAAATTAAGGATACTATAAGTTTTAAATTATTGTACCTTCGGCTAGTTGTTGCAGTAAATTCGATTTGATTTGAGATTACCGACCAAAACAATTATATATGACTGGAATGGAAAGCAATTAGCCGGTCAAAATGAACATTCAATAATACATAAATTTACAACAAACTGAAAGTTAATGAATATGTTCAAAACATGAACAAAAATAAAATACTAAAACTCCTTATCGTTCCGTATATTATTACTAAGTTTTGCCAACACCTGAAGGTATTTCCCCGGCTTTGATCCTGGCAAGTTGCAGGAGTATGAAATGTTCAGTTACACCCGAACTTAGGCCTTCCTTACATGTTCTTGTTTTATCTTCCTTCTTTTTCTAATCTTTGTCAGCTCTCAATATCTATGTGTTACGTCAAATAAATTGCATGACAATGAGACTGTTTGGCAATTCTTTGACCCTTGGCGCTTTTTCTTAGGGATGGCTGTTGGAGTGGGTCCATAAATCGTTCATAGTTACAGCAATAAGAACTACTCTTAAACATTTTGCCTTCTTTATCGCAGAAAAATTATAAAATGTGGCGTATGAACTCTATGCTGGTATCCATCTTTGACGGGTGCTTAAACAATACCGACTTAAGTAATCACACAATGTCTTCCAAATTTATTTTAGCACAAAATCTTATCTTTATAACGTTATATGGCGAAAACTGATCTCATTTTCATAGAACACGTGATACATAGAATCTATTGTATATATATATACATATCTATAATACATTATAAAATATTGTTGATATTTTAGAGTAGAAATTTTTTCTCTACATTACATTAAGACCTTTCCAAAAACTCTCAAAACCACAAAAAATTGGAAATCGAGAAAGCGTAAGTTATTTTATGTAGGTGGTTTGATGATTGAAAAAAAGTTTAAATAAAATATAGGGGTTTCCCTAGGTATTGTGACTATGTGTTCTACCATATAGCAATATATGTTTTGTCTTTTCAATATATTTGAGGATCAGTTGTTCACAATAATTCCAAGGGTTTTCTATATTTTCTAATAAATTTCGATGAACTATATAGTTTTAATTTAAGAGTGCTAGGACATACATAATGTTAAGCTAGCAGGTGTCGCTCACCAACATGCACGGGTCGTCCCCATACCATTAATATATTTTTTACCATTAATTTAAAAACTGTCGAAGCTTGGCTTTCCAAATTGAATTATAGACAAATATACATACATAAATATGTTCCTCTATATGTAAAAAATAAAGTTTATTAGTTCGCTGAAATTGAAGGAAAATCTCAGATTATTATTCATCCTGAGGCTATTACGTTGCATTATTACTACATTATCAGGTAACAAAAAAAGGCTGCTAAGATTTCATTGTGTGTTTAAGGTATATGATTTTCCACCTTAGTTAGATATGCGTAAGTATATAAACACATATATATGGTATATATTTATATACTATTGTACATATAGCTATACAAGCTAAGTGTAAATATAAAGCATTTGTTCTGACAGAGCGTCAAGCTCAGCCGGAATGAGGCCAAGTGGCTTCAGTGGATAAAACTTTTAATCGCCAAACAAACATATACACATATATAATATGTAAGTATGTATAACAAACATCTACTCCCCGCCTCTGCTTTCAGTAAGTATGTGAAAAAAGCAGCAACAATGATTAATGCCAGCTCAGCGTTGCCGTTAGTTCGCATATTCGTGGACTTGGCCTGCGCTTTGTGGCGCCAACGACAGGCTAAATAAATGAGCGTTGAAATTATGTTTGTAATGGGAAGAATATATATTAATGTATATGTTACAATAGAATGGAGCGCAAATGGCAGAGAGCAGATAGTTAATGCAAGCCGCTTGGACGGGCGATTGTTGGTGTTGTTGGCTGGCTGGCTGGTGTTGATGATGGCTTAGTGAGCGCAGCTTGTTGACACAATAAAATGATTGAAATGTTGAGTAGTAAGGAAGGAAACGGAAAAGAGGAGAGAAGCACCGGAATGGCTAACAGTGGTGAGTAATTTACTGGGACTACACTGTACAGGGAGATTTTTTGACTTTGAAGTAACTTATCGCCTAAACTATTGCAACTTTTGAGTTGCATCCTAAAGTGAAAAAAGGCAGTTTTCTTTAAAAAAAGTAAATTTATTATACAACAAAAAATCTAGTTTTCTGCAAAAAAGTTTTAAAATCCAAAATGATTCCATCACCATTTAAATTGAGTTTAGTTGCTAATTGAGCCAATTTATTTTTTTATATGGCAAAGTAGTCCATTATTTTCATAATTCCTTCCCATTGTACCCCTACTGCACTCCACACCATAATGCAGCCTCCAACAGGCTTGACAGCATTATTAAAATTTTTATCTTATAAATTGATTCGGTATTAAATTACTCTTGGTTGCAGCTTAAAAGCTGAAATAGTTTAAGAGAAAAGTCTCTTCACATCCAAAACATCTTACTGTACGAGTTTTTTTTGGGTTCACTGTATGTACATTGTATATGGTATAACTCTATCCGCTCCGCTTGATAAGTCAGTGCAGTGTATTTTTGAAATACTTGATTTAAAATATATTTATTGGAAGTAAGAACAAATCAGAGAAACCTTGGAGATCGTATGTACAGGGTTATAATTGTCATAACAAAGCTGTGTTAGAATAGGAAATTATAAACCAGTTCTTTCAGACGGGATGATTTGATGCTTGAAAAGGTGTCTGGCTTTTATTTCGACATCCAATCGATCCAACAGCGCACAATAATATTGTTTATCGATTTTTTTTTTATTATTTTCACCAAAAATAACAATTCAGATTGCGTTTGTTTCATGGCATGTTGTCCTTTGAACGTTATAATTTTTGATCGTTAGTTAATAAACCATTTAACGAAATTTCGCAATATTTTCTGATATAATTGCTTGTGTTAGTCATCCTGAAACGGGTTCATCATTTGTGTTATAACGATTCAAACCGAAATTCAGCAAAACAGTTCTTGATTTTTGAATATGTTTGGACAACGGTATTTTTTGTCATCAGCAATGTTTTGCCAAAACACTAAGCGCTTTTTTTTCTATTTTAAACTAAAATAGCAGAAGAAGCCACTTTGAGAGCTATTGGAGCTATTGGATGAAATTGAATCGTAAACAACAATAACTTTTTTTTTGTCACTCAAATATGTCGAACTTTGTGCCTGAAAAGTTTTTTATCTTTATTACTTTAATATGAAGAAAAAGTAATTTGCATAATTCAAAAGTGTTGATTTAGGCATGGAAGACAAATAACGTACTGGGCAGCCAGAAAAGTATGAAGATGAAGAACTGGAAGTATTCCTAAATGAAGCAGCCGTTTCAACGTTTTAAAGTTTAAAAGCGACCGGTTACATTCAAAAGCGAGAGGGTTGAGTGTCACATGAATTGAAACCAAGAAACGTTAAAGGATGACTTTGAATGTCAGAAATGCTGTTTGAATGCTAAAAAGGAGTCGTTTTTACATCGGATTGTGACTGCTGATGAAAAATGGACTCATTATGACAACACTAAATACATATGTGAAACCTGGACAATGAGCCAAATCAATGTCAAAACCGAATATTTATGACGTCAAATTAATGCTCTGTATGTCATTGTTTTGGACCGACAACAACTCATCAAGTTGAAATGAGCGATTGCCGAATAACGTCCGAAATTAGCGACTAGACATGAACGCCCTCAATTTGATATATTCGTCTTCGCCAAGCCGGCACAGTTCAAAGATGAAATCCACAAATTGCGAGAAATTGTAGTTTCAGCTGGGTATGTGATGAGGTGAATTATATTGTATTATTTTATATGCTTTTCTAAAACAAAGGTTAAAATTTTGAAGAAAAAACCGCATCAATATTGTTACATACCCAATATGCTTGCAAGGCTAAATAGGTTTCAGCTAAATATTGCGAAGGATGTGTGAATCCTTGTGATGTGAAGACTACTTTGTGATCAAAAAATATTTAATTTTATCCATGAACATATCAAACAGCCCTCGCAGTACAGATAGTTGAAAAAGAGTGCTTTAGTTTCTCTTCATTTTTTTCTTTTTACTGTTCGTGCCATTAAAGCAGCAATAATGAACAGACAAGAGACCACATTGCACAAAAAAAAGAAAACAAAACCGAAAAAACAAGGTGAACGCCAGCGAAATGACAGCTGTGGTGGCAGGTCACCCATATTCACGCGCGCGCGTGTGTGTGTGTAGGCAACACCTCAGCAGGTGGATATGTGCTAGAAAACAATTCGTGCCACTGGCAGTCAAGTGAAAGTGATGACGCTGCCAGTGCAACACATACACACACACCCACACAAATATAGTAACACGAGCTTAAGCGCTTTGAAAACTACTGTAATTCAGAACAGCTTAACTAAAATCGTATGCACATGTGTGTGTACTCATATATTTACACATAACGATGATTTTTAAACGACATGCACACGAAATTATGTGGGCGTGCAGATTAAGTGGAACGTTACATTTACTATAGGTGTTGTTGCTGTCACTTTCGGTGCGGTAAATTTACGAACATCAGGCGCACAATGTTTCCCGACCGCACATCAACCTATTTAGGAATGGTCGACGCGAGTACAAAGCACTGGACGTGTCTTCAAAGTCTGTCATTGTAGCAACACTGATTTCGCTTCCGCCTCATGTAATCGTTTAGCACTATCGTGTTTTCGTTTATATTATGTATTGTTTTCGAATATGTGACAACAACACATAAAACTGACAGGCAATGGGATAATGCGTTATAATTTATGTACGACATCAAAGTGCATGCGTCGTTGCGTCGCACAAAACCGAATTTGGGTTAGGTCAACACACAGAGGTATAATCGTGTGCTTTATTGGTTTTGTACTATGCACGGATATCACATTGTTTTAGGGCCCACGTAAAGCGCTTCCTTATTTGGTACACAAATACAAACACACATGCTCACATACATATATATATTTATCCTCCCCTTCATCATCATCGTTTTAGTGAAAGCTTGCACGCTATTATACTCATAGAAATGTATAGCCGTGATAGTAGTTTAGATAGTTTGTAAATAAGAATCGATTGAATTAACGGTGATTTCGCTAAGTGCTGCGCTATTGAGCAAGAGCAATGAGTAAGAAAGTAATCGAAACCGATGATGAAATATATGTTTTGAGATAACAAACATAAATGCATTAAATAGGTACCCAATCACGTGGCGGAGTTCAGAAATCGGCCGACTTGGTTTTGCTGTAGTAAGATATGCACTCGCGGGCCTTTTGTTTACAGATTATTTAATATCTTCGATGGCTACTTATTATTATATATGTCTATAGAATATACATATAGTCTATCCCTTCAATACGGGCACTGTAAAAAGTTAGCACCAGGCACTGGGGTCCCCATATTCGATAACCACGGCCTTGAATAGTTATGAAAACTTCTAGACCTGAGATATATATATAAGGCACTATTTGTGCAAAGTTTTGTCCCGATATATTCTTTGGTGCTTGATTTGTATACTGGAAAGTTTAAGAATCATATGGAATTTAAAATTGTGCTATATAGGAAATATATAGGAAGCCCATTTTCAAACTGTAACATAGGAATGTCAAAATGATTCCATGTGCCAAATTTGGTGGAAATTGGACAAATAGTTCCCGGGATTTGTGATTTCAACTAAATGTGGGCTGCTATAAAATCCTCTTGGATGTAAAATTTCATGTCTCTGACGCATTAAGTTTATGATTTATCGCACTTTTAGTAGTTTTTAACGAAACAGTTATATGGGGAGTGGTCGGGGCTATCATCTGATTTCCTCCGTTTTCACACTGTCAAGAAGGAGTTAAAACTATTTATTGTATGCGAATTTGGGTCATATGGCTGGAATGGTTTAGGAGATATATACATTCAACTTTTATTATTTTTGGTTTTCGATTAATGGTGTTTTATGGGCGTGGCAATAGTCCGACTAGGCCCTGCTACAATACCAAACTTCTTATGGTGCCAAGGTACATGTTTACCAAGTTTCATTAAAATTTATTAAATTTTACTCAAGTTACATGTTGCACGGACGGACGGACAGACAGACAGTCACCCGGATTTCAACCCGTATTGCCATTCTGCTCATATATATATATATATATAATCCTATATCTATCTCGATTAATTTAAGGCGATACAAACAACCGTTAGGTGAACAAAATTATTACATTCTGTAGCAACATGTTGTAAGAGTATAAAAATCAAAATAAAGATCTCTTTATACCGTTTTATGCTTCAAAGAATGCACATGTAAAGGGTATTATAGCTTCCTTGCAAATGATGCATTGGAGCTTTAGCTTGAGTTTCCTATTTACTAATGTTAAGTACAACTATTACCGTAACTATAGTATTCACCGAAGATGTCAACATAACAATATCACATCTTTTGTTTCCAATAGTCCTTGTATTACCTTAAAATCGATGCAGCAGTTGAACAATACAAGTTCGTCCTCTGCTCTATCTACATTGAGTTGGTGATTGCTCTTTACAGTTCCACATTTAATTTATGCTGACTGAATGGAATACGTAAATACGGTAAATACTTAATGTTTTACTGGTAGACATTGCAAGTAAAAATAATACAGTTAAAGAAACTTATAATTTTTAGGTTAGATTTCAGTTTTCGGTATTCAGGGAATTTTAATTTCATACCAGGCCAATTTGATCTTTGCTTATGACATTGGAACTATACTGCAAATCTTTATAATTTCGTAACCGTGTATTTGGATTGGATACAAAGTTTCAAATTACTGTTTCGTAGGAATACTAAATATATTAGATAGATTCACATTCCCACTCGTATTCAATCAGAAGAAAAGAAGAGTCTCGCTATTTGATTGAGGTCTAATAGTCGTTTTTTGATTCTGCCGCTTTAGCGAGAGTAGTACTGAAAGACCTTGGGACTCTAATCTTTAACAATCTAGACGAATTGAGTGTTTGGCGATCTTCAAACGTAACTCACATCTCTGCCAGTAGCATACATGACAATCAAGGCGTCAAACATTTATATTCTCAGTTTGTAAATAGCAGTTATGCTAAGTATATATATTTTATATTTTAACATGTATTTGGATCTCCCTTTTTCACCATGTAAGAGTATTAGGAAAAGTTTACATTATCGACCAATTAAGAAGTGGATCAATCAACCCTTGGACCATTTAGCATAAATATTAGCTAATCTAAGCATACCCGCCCACATAAATGGTTATCACAAAGTTTGTTTTATTTTATTACTCAATATTTTTTCGCAATAAAGTTATCTTTGTATGTTTAAGTACAAAATATAGAAAATTAGCTTGAACGTAATCCTCCACTTAATAGTTTGTATACACATATGAGCTTATAAATATATATATTATATATAGTTGTCTTCATCGTCGCATCGTTGACGTAGTTTGCCAATTAGGTTTGCTTCTCTGTCATTTCCTTAGTTTTCCACGTCATTACTATTACGATATTTTCACTTTTATCATTTCCTTATGCTCCTGCTGGATATGTCTTATTTCCCATACTTCATATTCCATTCCTTACGCAATTCAAATGATTATCGGCTATACCCTCTTAATGGCAACTAAACTTTTCCGGTTGCGGAGCGCTGAGAATGCAAACATATGTACGTAGGCAGTGGGAGGCAACAGCACGGAAATGGTGCAAAGGAGTCGGGCATTATTGAAATGTAGCCAAGCATGTGGAATTAAATTGGTGCTGAGAGAATATAAATGACACGGGAGGTTTTATAATAAATTGTCTATTAAAACGCATACGTTCACAAACTATTTACGGGACAGACTTTAGATATCCGCATATGGTTAGAGAATATGTGTTACATACTCACATAAGGTACCAGTGCGTGCAATAATAAATATACAGTAACAGTCAGATAAGGGTAACCAGCAAAATTTTAGGAGGAAAAATATTAAAAATAAATGGTATACTCTATGTGTGATAATTTTTGTAAAGAAATAACGTATATTTTGTAATATACATACATATGTATGTATGTATGCAGATATAGCACATCTTTAAAAAACAAGAACGTACTTGTGCGACAGGGCGTATGAGTAACATTTTTGAATAAAGTTAAGAGGCACACCTCATGTGAAAATTAAAAACAACAATGGAATGGTATGGAAGCTCTAAATTCAGGTGTAACAAAACATTTCATACTCTTCTCTTGCAACTTGCAAGGATCAAAGCCAGGGAAATACCTTCAGGTGTTGGCAAAACTTTATTTTAAAAGAAAGATTTTGGGCTTTAATTTCCATCCATTGGCTATGTTATATTTTGTATAAAATTCTTTCGCTATTTGCTAAATTTTGTGAAAACACCTTGTACAAAAAAGTTTTCCCTACAAAGACTTTTTCTTAGTATTCAAGAAACCTTTTGGGCCGACCACAATTTTTAAAATGATTTCTGAGTATATAACCAAAAACTGAAAGACAAAGCAGAACTTTCTATAATATTTTTGTTTTAGCATTTGTGGAGTATTTAACTGTTAGGTATTCGTAAACGGTTGTGGGGAATGAGGTTTAACAGGAGCCCTAATTAGCGCAGACTACATATACTTGGCCTTTATTAGAAACTATTTTCTAACTTTAGGGTGCTGCCAGACGGTATTCATAAACAACAACGGTTTAAGTTATATTCCCTAGTATAAAAATATGGAATTCATAAGGCAATTCACGTAAATATATAAACGGAAATATTAGCAACTACACCACTATTACAGTGACTGTGTTTCCTTCGTATAATTTTGTAGAAATATAATCAGGATATGCAAACATTCGCTCTAATAAACACCTATATTCAAATATTCGTACAATTGTACACGAATAAAATAACAACAAGTTAAGGCCAAAAGGCGTACATAGACTCCTACTATGGAAATACAAAAAGACAGTTAGTTAGAATACAGCACGTAGCACACCTTTACAAATGTATAAATGTGAATCGTTGTATACCTAAAGTATCGCAGACGCACCCACATCAACACGTACCGTCAATCAAATATGTGGGTGTTCACCACGGTGCGGTGGTTGCAGTGGTGCTTCGGTGTCCTTGCCACGGTTTGTTCCTCATGGTAGCCATTTTTACTTTTACCATTCAAAACGATTTTTTTTCTCAATTTTGCTTTCTTTTTGATAAATAGGACTATCAACGTATTGCTATATGAATATCAAATTGAATGTGCAAAAAAAAAAACAGAAATCTAATCAGGAATATGCAGGAGGCACAGTGCGAATGTGAAGTAAGAAATTAAAAAAAATATTATTCAAATGGACTAGCATGGGCGCAAGCGAAAGTGGAATATTTAAATTTTTAAATGAAACAAGATCGTATTGGGGACATTTGTGGAAAACTGAATCATTTAAATTTGTTATATGAATCTGGATGTATTTATGTAATTTTCTTAGTTGAACATAATAACGGTAGAAGTTTTTTGGAGTATATTATTTTTATAGAACCGAAAAAACTCAAAACTAACACAGTATCATGAAGTAGATTTTTTTTATTATTAAGAGAGTGCCGAATGGAACATCAAATGGTATATATTAGGTAAAGTAAAAAGTTCGTTCGGTTTTTATCTAAGAAATGGCGTTATTGTCCATAGTATTAGTGTTACGTGTCGCATCATGTCATACTATACGGCGCTGAAAACATGTTTATTCGCGCTAAAAGTTTGTCTTTGACTGTTTTTCGATTGATTGACTCAGTTCGTTGTAAGCGCTCGTCAAAGATGGACACCAGCAAAGAGAAAATTCGCCATATTTTACAATTTTTCTTCGATCAAGGCGAAAAAGCAGCCAAAGCGACTGAAAAAATTAATTAAGTTTATGGGTCCGATACTGTAAACGAACGTGTAGCACAAAAGTGGTTTGCTAGGTTCCGCTCCGGTAATTTCGGTGTCAAAGATGCACTCCGCGTCGGGATGCCTGTCGTCGAAAATTGCGATAAAATCATGAAAATAGTGGAAACAGACCGTCACGTGAGCACTTATTTAATTGCTGAGGAACTAAAGATAAGCCAGAAAACCGTTTGGAACCATTTGCATAACCTTGGATTCAAAAAGAAGCTCGATGTTTGGGTGCCACACGAACTAACGCAAAAAAAGGAAGGTTTTGCTGTGTGTTTGGTGGGATTGGCAAGGAATCATCTACTACGAGCTGCTCCCCTATGGCCAAACGCTCAATTCGGCCCTCTACTGCCAACAACTGGACCGCTTGAAGGCAGCACTCATCCAGAAGAGGCCATCTTTGATCAACAGAGGCCGAATTGTGTTCCATCAGGACAACGCCAGGTCACACGTCTTTGGTGACCCGCCAGAAGCTCCGGGAGCTCGGATGGGAGGTCCTAATGCACCCACCTGATAGTCCGGACCTGGCACCAAGTGATTACCATCTTTTCCTGTCCATGGCGAACGCGCTTAATGGTGAGAAGTTAGCCTCAAGAGAGGCCTGTGAAAATTGGCTCTCCGAGTTTTTTGCCAATAGGGACGCAGCCTTTTACGAGAGGGGTATAATGAAGTTGGTATCTCGTTGGCAACAAGTTTATGAACAAAACGGCACATATTTGACTTAAATTCGACAAATGCACACAAAGTTATCATCTTTTGAAAAAATCAATAAAAAACCGAACAAACTTTTTACTTTACCTAATATGATCTAAAATAATAGAATAGCAATTAGTTATACCACTTTTACTTTCTGTATGAAAGTGAGTAGAGTCCAACTATAGAGAAGTGACGAATCGAAGCCGACTACAATTAATAAAATTATTTTTGAGTCAAAATTTTTTAAATTAATTATGGAAATTATTTATCTAAATATTGTCTCCTCTATCTAATTACAATTGGTCTAATAATTTGTATTCGATTTCTTAATGAAATTAATCGTTAATTAGCAGAAGTCGCTTGGCAAAAATCTTAGTTTGCATTATCTAGATTGGATAAGATAGCTAATCGGTAGCATCAAGGAATGATTAGTATCATCTCATCTGCGTGTAACTATAGTTGTAGACAATTCCACATAAAACAGCCTTGATATGCAATCTAAAATCACTCCTTACAAAAAGTGTTACTTTGGACTGGATACATAGTTTCCATCACTGAAAAAATTCAATTGAATATCAACTAATGTAAGCTGCAGTGGAGAGAAGCTACATATGTTTTAGAAAGGTCAAGTGGTGAGTGACCGCATTTCACTTAGCGTTTCGACTTTCAAAGCGACAAAATGCACAGGTCTTGAGAAATTGGTTAAAATTGTTAAGTTGTTTACAATGCTTAACAATAAAGGGAAATGAAAAATTTATACAGGAAGAATATATTTCAATTTACATAAATAACTTACAACTACATCAAATCAACAAACAAACACCATTTATAGAATCGTTTCGTGAAAATGTACACATTTACAATACATATTTATTTAAGCAACAGAATAGTTGATACATAATCAGTTTATAACCAACAAAGCGAACAATAAGACTAAAGTAAACAAAAACAAAAATAAAAGCCCAACCTAACAACAATAGCATCAACTACAACAATATGTATACTATTCGGTATACTTGTATTAGTGTTGCGATAAGATCCTTATTTTTATGTCAAATGAAATGAAAAGTTAGTAGTGTCAACGATGACGACGAGGGCAAAATCGAAAACAACTGTTAGAGTTGTCATGACATTGTGGATGGTGTTTTGCGATTTTGCGGTTTCATTGTGGACTTAGTGATGGCGTGATGGGATGATTCAAATCACAAATCGCTGCTAAAATGCTTAAAAGATTATCCCTGCGTTAAGTAGAAGGAAATCTGCGGGCGTAATGCATACACATATTTCATTTTAGAGATTCGATATGATAACTCAAAATAGTTTAGAGATTCAGCGAATAAACATCAAAATTTTAATGGCGGACAACAAGCAATTGAAAATGAAAAAATATAACATTGAGATATCTATTAAGCAGCTCATGAAATTGTAAATAATATTGAAATGTTATGAAAGTATTTTGGGCTTTGCAATCTTCAAATAAGTCTTCTTCAGTGACTTCAGATAAAATTCAAAAATGAAAGGAGAAACGAAGAAATAAGTTTGAGTGGAACGATGCATTAAAACCACGATATTCTTATAAAATCGATAAATCAAAACGGAAAACAGTTATGAGGCGAGTTTAGGGACGGCTAGTATAGTTGTGTGAAGTTAGTATCTATCACACATATTTACAATATACATATATACTCGTATCTGTAAATCCACTTCAGCAGACATTAACGTAGTAGTTATACGTAACCCCTGTATAGATATGAATCGAAGTCATTCATTAGACCCTGAACAGCTGAACAGGGCATATTAAGTTTGCCAGGAAGTTTGTAATATTAGTAGGAAACGTCGAAGACTCTATGAAAAGCATATATTAATAACCAGCATGACGAGCTGAGTCGATTTAGCCATTTCCAGATGTTGCGAACTAGTTCCCCAATTTTTAAGTTATCGATATGAAATCCTTTTCTATCGAAGAACAGAGCAATCGGAACCGCCGATATCGGACGACTACAATTTGGTTTATTATATAAAGCAGCGGTACAATCTTCCAAAAAATTGTTCAGATCATACTACTATAGCATAGAGCTGTCATACAAACTAATCGATGAAAATCAAGTTCTTGTATGGCATTTTTTGTATTTGTGAAAGGTATGCTAGTTTTGGTGCAACCGAAGTTAAAGTTTTTTCATGTTTTTTAACAAATTGACTTTACCGCGAGTGATACGGGTGAAAGATTAAATTTATTAATATATTATGAACGATAAGAGGGAGTGAAGTTAATTGCAAGAACCGAACTCATTTAATTCGGTAAAGAATGCTGAGAAAATCTGATATCGCTTTCGCCCATACTAGGGAGAAAGTTTGCTCTGGCATTTGCCACTGTAAACATACCAAAGGTTTGCTTCGATATAATTTTTTTCCTGCTTGGATAAGTGACATTCAAATTTCAGAGCATAAAACGTTTCTCTAGTTTATGAAATCATGAAAGCTCTGGGCGAAGTGTGTTCCATTCGAGAACAAAATTGTCAAAAAAGAAAATCAAGTATTCGGGGCAATCTTTGGAGCTGTTAAAACATAATAAACATAAATGTTGGCAATAATAAGTGACAATGGCAAAAGCGTGTCTCTTTCAGTCCAATCAATGGTCATCCGCATCAATTTCAACATTCGACCGAATTAAAAGGGTGAAAAGCCACAATAGTCCGCTGGAAAAGTTATGGCGTCTTTATTTTGGGATGCGCGGGGAAAAGTTTCGACAATCTTGAAAAGACAAAAAACCTCAACCCTCAAGAGAATACTCGCTAGAAAGTAACTTAACAGTAATGAAGAGACATTCTCCAAGACAGACGCTTATTTTAAAGCAAAAGGTTAAGGTTAAAGGTCAAACTTCAAGAGTGGTATCAAAACGTTGGAACATCGCTATAATCAGGATATCGGCCTCGATGACAACTATGTTATATAGAAAAATCGAATTCTGCAAAAAATTCATAATGTAACGAACTTTTCAGACTGTCTTTTATGCTGTATAATTCTAAGCGAGGCAAGAATTCGATACTTGGAGACAAATTTAGTGAGGAGTATGCGTCGACAACTGGAGGCAATTATTGCAACAAAAGGAGGGCCAACAAAATAGATGAAATAGAGATAAAAATATAACAAGAAATATTAATTTTGAAACAAATAAGCGCTTCGTAGATTGATAGAACTAGACGTATGTAAACTTTATTCATTCACTGCTGCTTCGACAAATGCTTATTATATTATACAACCACATGCCGGGTATGCATGTTCAATTAATTCTTTCTAGAGCCGCAAATGCACTTAAGTTTAGTAAAATCCAGGCCCATATACAAGTCATATCCCTTGTACAATAACAAAACTATGCACACCTGATTCGGTTTTTACACAATCTTTTTTAATTCATTCCATTTAGCTAGATTAAAAATTTTTTGGTTTAATTTTTATTTGTCAGATTTAATTTTTGTTATGCATAGTTGTTATTGTGTTAATATTCTGTGAACTATCAATGCAATCAGAAGTGCTTGTTAAAGATATTCTTATGGGCAAATTCTTTAGGGTGCATTTCTTTTTTTAAGCTATTGCATAGCTTCTATCATGGACTTTGAGCGTGGGGACTGAATCAAGAAATTCCGTAACGGAA